ATCGATATGCTAATGATTACGATATAAGAAGCAATTAGGATAATCTAAATTATTTTTATTTTAAAGAAAAGATGTCTATTTTCTCGACTCTCGTAAAAAATTTGTCTTCTGTTTCATCTGAAAACACGCCTATCGCGCTTTCATGCGCGCATACACACCGACAGTCATACAGGCAGAAAAACAAGCGAGAGACAGAAACAGACACACAGGAAGGCTTAAAGGCACATACGGATAGTAGCTAGGAATGACGGAAGCCTTGGTTTTGGGGGCAGAGGGAGGAAAGGGTGTCATATAGGCCACAGCGGCGGGCCATTGAGGCTGAAACCTTGTGTGTGGAGTTTGGTGGGGCGCAGGCCGAGTTACCGGGGATTGAAAAGCAATTTTCCCGAGCGAGCGCGCGCGCGAGAAACGAGATGGTGGGGGCCGTTACGAAGGGGAAAAAGGAAGAGTGAGGGGCAAGAAGGGGCAGGAGCTTTATATTAATGATCCAGATATATTATCGGACGTGACCGAAATTGCTGTCAAAAAAGTCGGATATTGGATCGAAGGAGATTGCGAAATGCCTGCTCGTCCTCCCTCTCGCTCTCTTTCACTCTTTCTCTCACGCTCTTTCACTTACTTCTTAAGAGATTGTCATTCTTCAACAACGTGGCAGATTCAAATATGCTTTGTTTCATATTTTTATGCTTTACCTCATAGGTCAGAACTCTGATTATTATTTTTTTACATTCACATCAAACGTGAATAAATATTTATGTACTTCAAAGGCTTTTTCATATCTGATGATAAACTTAAAAAATTTTTTTTTATAAAAGTAATGCAGAAAATATTAACACGTGCACACACGCGCACGCACGCGCACGCGCACACAGACACTTTGTAAGTTACTACCGAAAAATGAAAGAATTATTTTCATAGTATATAAAGTATCATATATCAAATTAATATAAATGTGTGTTGGCGTGTGGGCGTGTGGTTGTACGAGTGTATATGCATAAGTAAATATAAATAATATTTGAAAATGTGCCCAGCGTCTTTAAAATTGTTATTCTCATCTGTAATATAAAATCACATACTACTAGAAAATAATATTTTAAATTTAATGCATACATACTTAATATAAAATTATTTTCAACTACATACAGTATTTTCAAAGATGTTTAAATAGATACAGCATGGATAAGCATATGAATTTGATTAATAATTAATGAAACTAATCACTATTCGAATTAATTTTTTTAATAACTTAATAATAAGTACAATACTAAGTATGTATGAAGTGAGGTAACATTGAAAAAAATTTAATATTAATATACTATATATTTTTAATTTACATTAATTAATATAAAAATAATAAAACCTAATATTTTTCACGATTTACTATATCTAATATAATAATTATCAATGTAATCAAGACTCAACAAAAATAGTATAAATAAATATAAATAGATAAAGAAGATATAAATTTAAATTAAAAAATTTTAATAATAGAATAAAAAATGTTTCTAAAAAGCTTTTCTTTTAATTCAGTTAATTAAATTTTACAGTAATTATCTTCAAAAAATTCGCGAAAGGGTAAAAATTCAAGAATTACTTTGGACAGCTAAAGTCAATAAATTTTAATTAATATGGACGAACAGATTATATGCTTAAATTATGCGTTTTACTTAGTAAAAATGAACAAATTATATTTATTTAAATATTTCAATTCAAGGTTCCGGCTGCAATAGATTATTAAAAGAAAAGGTTTTCCTTTTAATTACATGTCCTTTTGGAAAAAATAATTCCTAGACAATATAATAATGTTAGTATGAAAAACTATAAATGAATAAGGATTTATTTATAATTTGTTTATAATTTATATAATAATTATATAATTTATTTATAATTAATTGAATTTTAAAGTTCAGCTGTAATTAGGGATTCTTTAAAACATCCTTCTTCTTACATACTAAATAGTAAAGTAGTTAAAATTGTTTATTTTTTCAAAGTAAGATTTAATTCTAGTTGAAATAAATTTAACAAAATGTTAGTTGTATTATGATGAAGTATCCTAAAGAAAATAGAAATAGTATTATTTATATATACAAATATAATTTTTAACCTATATAATTTTTAATTTAATTTACCTATAGACGAGAACAATTATTATGCAATCAACGATATTCCAATACAATTGAACAAAAAAACTTTGAAATATTAAAAATTATAGTTGAAATTAATTATTTTAAAGATGTAAAATGTTGCATTCGCAAGTAAAAGTATTTTATTAATTTAAGAAAATCTATTTGAATATATAAAGATCCCTGTCAATGTACATTGAGTCGATAAGTAAATAAGAAATTTCTATTTTTGCAAAATTAAATGTTTATTTATAAATTAAATATCTGATGATTGTAAATTTTATTTAAGATACGAAGTCATATCGCGCATTGAGCTAAAATGAGAAGCAATTGAAATATGACGATTGATTGAACGACGTCTAATGATATACTGCGGAAGTATAAATATTATTCATAACAATGGTATCCATGAAAAAAAAAAATAAATAAATAAATAAAATAATAAATAAAAAATAAATAACTTGCTCAAGCAGTAACTTCATTAGTGTAATAAAATGAAATCTATCCGTCACGAAAACAGCTATCTTGGGTTGTACGTAAACAATGTACGCACACGGGAAAAAAATACGCACTCGCGCAACCGTGAAAGAATTCAGTTGCTGTTACAGTCGCAATCGTGCGAAATTCGCTCACGTGTAGATAAAATGCGGATGACGTCGACAACACCACCAAAGTCATTTTACCAACAGCGAAGAGGGGGGAACAGGAGAGCTGTAAGATCGAGCGAACTCCGCGTTTACAACTAATTCGCTTGTAACTGCTTCAAGGCTGAATTGTGACTTTACGATTACTTACTTAATTATGTATATGATCGTGAGAGAGACGAATTTGATCCTATATCAGTCATAATGACAATAAACTTTATTACTTCAATTCTGTTTATGAGTTGACGTTAGAAATGTTTATACGTATATTTATTTCATATAATTTAATACGTTTGAGTCGACGCTAAACGGTGATTTGATATGGAAAAATCACTTGATTCTTTTTGGTTTAAAATTTGAACTTTTTCGTGATTTTATGAAAAATTTTTCATCGATAATTTATTATTCGTTATAATCAATAAAAATTTTTACAATGTGTCAAATGTATTTATAAATTAATGGCAGTTTTTAAATAGTGCACAGTGTAAATATTAATTTAAATGAACATCCACATTTTTGTTAACGTTCATTTTTTTTTTATCTTTGCTCCATTCGAATGCTTTTTACATTCGTCAATTTAAAATAATTCATGATATTCTAATGATTAGAAATTTCAAAGAGGCTTTTCAAAAACATCGTTTTTTACTTTAAACAGTGATAAGTGTTCTAGTTATTTTTTATCTACTTGTATTACCATTTCGTGTATAAATTTTCAAACGTACATTAAATATATGTTAAGTTTAAATCTTTTTAAGCCTCATTTTAAGACTATTCGGGTATTAAATTCTTTTCACCAAAAATAAATTTTGTTTAATAAAAGAAATACAATTATTTAATCTAATAATAATATTTATTTTATCTAATAGCCTTCTTCTTCTACTGTTTTTTGAAATATAAAAGAAAATTTTTTTCTTCGCAATACAAAAACGATTCTTCATTATTATGAAAAATTGTGGGATCGATTTTTCGACGATAGGCGAGTATAATTTGACGATACGCGTGAGTGATTGATATAAGGAATAATTTTATTAAAATTCACTATCATACTATAGAATATATGTAAATATAGAATATATAGAAAATATAGAAACTATGTAATAGTGTGCATTGTATCTTCTTATCATTAAATGAAATTAACATTGAAATTGAATATGACTGAATTCATAATTCGTATTAGAATTGCCATAAATTCATTGCCATAAATAAATGAGAAAAATGATTAAAATCTAATATCGCATAATTATCAATTAAAATGTATATTTCGCATTATATAAGCAATTATTAATTATTTTATTATTCTTTCAGTAATATTTGATGTATTGTTATGTACAGTATTTCTTATACATTGGAGTTAAAGGCTAAACTTTTAAAAATTTCAAATAATAGTTTTAGAATTATTTGAGTGTTATCGATAGTCATTGAATGAAATGGTGCACTTTAGAAATAAGGACGTCAGCAATTATAAAAATATACAATTATATTTTCTTTTAAATTGTTACTCGATAAACTGTACTATTGTAAAAAATATAACTTAAAGCTATAGGCGTAAAGTTATTATTAGATAAAATAGGCACAAAACGTTCATCCACCAAGTTCCCATTTTAAACTTATAAAATATAAAGAGTTAGGTAGAAAAATAAATAACCGTTGCTTTCACGAAAAATTAATTACAAAATGACAAATATAGACTGATGATAATTCTTTCGTTTGCTTTAAAATTTACGACTACTCGTGAGCTCATTTAAGTCTATAAAATTAGTGTCCAATCTATTTTAGATAGTTCTTTCTTTCCTTTAAACATCCAGCCGTGAGGGAGTTTAGAAAAAAAAAATGGAAAAGGGAAAAGTGCTAACTAGAAGTCACGCTTTAGTCAGAACGGGCGACCGCTTATCTACGATGCGGGCGTACGCCGACGATGAATCGCGCCGTCTCTCGCAAAAACACACATGCGTATTTTGTTGCTTTTTTCCCTCGTCCTATACCATCGAATAAATGAGCGCGACGAGTCCTCGTGTATGCGTGATAAGTGATTGCACAGGAGCGTGGGTACCTTGTTAAGTGCAGTCCTTAAACGGAAAGGTGATAATAAGCGGGTTTTGTGTTTAAAGTAATAGGGTCGGGCTCTCCAACGTTTCCATTTATTTTCTTTCTCGCTCATCGCCTTTTCCTCTTTCATTTTAGCCGAGAGTCGTTTACTCCCACTAATTTTTCTCACTTTTTTTTCTGCTTACAGACGATGCAGTCGTGGCATTCTCGTTGCTGAGGATTGCTAAGGAACAGTGGTGGTAAGTGTTGTAACCTTTCAATGCTCGCTTGTTTCACATGCACAAGTACACAATTGTATCGTTCGAGCATTCCCAATGAAATAAATCAACGTAATAAAACGTAATTGTTTTCTTTGTGTGGGGTCCTAAGGGTTGAAAAATGACGAATTGATTTGCGATTATTATTTAACGTCTATGAGCTGCCATTGGCCGTTGAAAGAACGTAAGTAACAGTATCGGAATTCACTTTTTGTTTGTCACTGCCTAAGATAATTTACATCTGCAAAAATATCATTTAAAACCAGCTGATAATGACGAATAATATTTATAAATTATTTTCTATGATAATTTAGCGCACTTTTTTTTGTGTATTATTACTTTTAATTAGGCTTATGCTTAATTTGGATAGAATTCTTTTTCTTTTTCATTTTATGTAATTCATATCGCAGATGTGAAAGTTCATCAATTTCAGAACACAGGGGCGTTCCTATTTTGTGCCCAATTCATTCGACATACTTGGACATATCAAACTACTATTGTTAAGTCAGATTTAATATTATTTTCTCATCTTCGCTCTCGTCTTCCTACGGGTCCTCTACGCTACTTTTCGATACTCATACTAAGACTCTACATGCTGTTCTCTCATTTCTCACCATACATTGCCAATCTTAATTTGTACGATTTAATTACATTTATTATATTGGATAAGAATATTGATTCTCTCTATTTCGTGATAATATAATCTTTCGTTCTCATCATTTATTACGACTGATTCGAACGAGCTCTTTCAAGCTTATCATTTTTTTTTTGTTTTTCTGTTTTTTTTTTTTTTTTTTGTTTTTTTTTTTCATATATTCTAACATGCTATCGTTTAAAAATATAATATTATACGAAAAATTAGTTGAACATTAACATTAAATTTGTAATATCTTATTCGATTTTTGGTTGTAAGTCAAAAATAAATGTAAAATTAAATTAAATCATAGATTTGATTGTGTAATTAGATTTTTCGTTTGTAATAAATTGTTTTCAATTGATATTATTCAAACTTATGTCACGACATATTTATTTGAATGTTATTTTCCTTTAGTTTGTCTGCATTAGAATTTCATGTGTTTTAGTATTTTTATTGAAACTAAATCTTTTAATACAACCTGATACCGTTTATATTGATAATTAATAATTTTTAGATTGTTTCCAATAATATTTTATCAATTTATGTCATAATTTATAATTTTTTAGTTTAATTTAGAAGTTTTTTTAATAATAATTTTAATCCCATTACAAATCATTATTTGCTATAATTTGTAAAATTATCAAAATTTTATTCGATATTTCAAATTCATTTGTTATTATTTTTCACAAAATCATTCAAATTAAGACAAATATTATAAAAAGGTATAATAAAGATAATATTAAACAATTTTACATTATTTCTACTTAAGTTTGAAAATTATTTCCTAATGTCTGAATATAGCTCAGTCGTAATGAAATTTGATCATCACTACAAGAAGTACATTAATAAATATATATAAATCAATTGTTGTTGTTCAAAATAAATTTACACAGAGCTAAAGAGAATACATATAATATGTAATTCATAATTAATCTATCATGTATATGTATGTATTACCAATAACTGTATTGCTTTATAACTTATCTATGATTAAAAGTGTTAAAAAATATCAAAATGCGATTTTACATTATTTCAATCACACAAGTCGAATAATCTTTAGCAGAGACTATAAAATTATAATACAACATTTTCTTTAATATTTATTCATTGCAAAAGAAACCAGTCATTATCGTTGCTTACCAAAAGTTGTATGCCCGTATTATTGTTATGCTTATATATGGGACTATATTGCATACAGGAATATTAAATTAAGAATGAGAAAGACTGGTTTCAAATGTAGGTAAATACATTTTAATCTGTGATTATGATGAAGAGTCATTAATCAACAATATTATAATCGAAAGGAGTTGCATAAATATGATCACATATAAAAGGTGTAATGATCGTGGTTTGAATGTATTTCAGTTACGCGCTAATGAAAACCATTAGTTTCTTATTATTTCACTACATAGATTCTGTACCGCTTATATTCTGAAATGCCAATTTCCATTTCAGACGAATACTTATTTGCATAATTATTAATCTTACTAATCAACGATGAAGCTGAGGATAAAAAATATTTTAATTTTGCTAAATATTTTCTAAATATAATTTTATCAGCATAATTGTAAGATACCATTGTCTGTTATTTTAGAAACTGATAAAATATTTTATTTGATTTTTAAGTTGTGTGGAGTCTAGAGTTTTCTAATCGGAAATATGGAATATCAGTTCTTGAAGTTGGTATGAAGACAGGAACAATCTTATTTAGATTTATTGAGATGTTGTCGTTTATACATATTAAGATAATGCATAATTTTAATGCTAGAAATGGATACATGGATATTAAAATTTTCATAAATGAAATATTATGCTAAATTATACTATTTTCTGAGATTCGAAATTAGTTTCAACATTTATTATTTATTGTAATTTATGTAATATAAATTTCTTCAGAATCACTGGCTTATATTATAAATCCAATGTATATATATATATATTGTTTTGTTAATATACTAAATACTAATTATTACGTTTGTGTAAAAAGGGTTGATATTTGAAATATCAATCAATCGTCAAATATTTCTAATTTAGATTATTGAAGAATTTAAATTATTAATAATATAATTAATATATTAGTGAGTTAGTTTGATTGTTAATTTGCAAAAATTTTACTTCCATGTATATTAATGAAAATTATTTTTTTTTTTTTAAATATACAAGAAAAAAAAATAAAATTTTTGTCGCTAATGCACATGAAATATTCTAACCGCATAAATATGTCGCGAATAAAATCAAAATTATTAAAATGACCATTATAATTCTTTATCTTATTATAAATAGAATGTTTAGCATTATAAGATAAAGTAACCTACAAATAAAAGATAAAAAAGGGAGTCCGTTTTACAATTTAAAAACTCGTTCCGAGAATTAGTCAAACCTATTCAACATTAATCAGGCTCAATTCGCAATAAAAGAAAAAAGTCAAAGGAAACGCGTCTTCATACATTTTGCATTGTTATAGAAACACAAATAATAGAACAAAGAAACCATCGTTAAAATGTAAAGTAGAATAAACTGGTAGAACAGGAAAAAAGTGAGATGTAACTGCATTTCCATATCTCGGCGATTGTGATGCACATTCATTACCTTGCGTGTGCGCGAAATTAACAATTCAACCAGCGACATTGGCCTGTATTTATACATTTATACTTTCTCGTTTATAAACCGGCTTATTTCCCATAACCATTATGCCGTGAGGTTGAGCGCCCGAGGAAGTAATTTAGGGTACCGCTCTCGGACGTTTTAAATTGCCCGCGGTGCGCGACTGTCTCATTTCATTGGCTACGGTTTCAGATTCGAGAGCCCACTTACGTTTATTTTCACCGTTTATTGATCGAATATTGATTGTAAATTCTCGTTATGCTGCTACTTCATTATTGAAATTAAAGAACTTCTACCATTATTTTGTAAAAGCGTTTGTGTCGGCCCGAGAGAATGACCCTTCTCTCTGAGAAGATCAGTCTATGAATATTTATCATACTTTTTCTTGAGTACTCTGTCTTATAAGTTATAATAAAATTTAACATTTAATAAGCTACCGTTAGCGACCATCATATTGTAAAATTATTATTTTTATTTTTAAATATTTTATAATGAAGCATTGCTTAGTCGTTGTTGTTTCGTTGGATTATGAAGCATTAATTAATTATCAAAGTACGACGGAAATAATAAATAATTAATATAATCGAATAAAAATTGACTAAACATCAACTTAAACGTTCATTTTATAATAACCAAAGGTTTGCATTTTAAGAATTATTTCACCATTGCTGAGGATTCAATTTATTATTACTATAGTAAACTGCTTACATTCTAAATATACATAAAACGAAACATATTAGAATTAACAAAAATAATATAATGTGATTATGGTTGCATTTATAAAAGAAACAATTTAATCGAGGATAATATATTATTAATATCATAAGAATAATTAAAAAACTATTTACGATTTTTGAGCTCTTAAATAGCTAAAACAACAAAGTTCATTATTGGAGTATGAATGACAAGATAAATTAATAAGAGAAAGAAAATTAAATAATCATTGTTTATCCTGTTCAAAAAGCGAAGGGGTACACCGAATACAACCACAAGAATTCCAATGGGTACATCCAACCCCTGTATTTCTAATTGTGTTGTATATTATGTTCGAAGAAGGCACGAGCACACGGTATTTGGCTTTGATATCTGGCCGGCGGGGGAAGAAAGAGACGGAGAGGGGGAGAGTCTTTACTGATTGACACTTGTTCTTGTCTACAAGTGTCGGCTCAGTGCTCTAGCTTTGCAAGTTTAGATTCTCCCTGCTTGATAGAATGGCGTGCCAAATGATTGCATATATTTTATCGGACGTTTACAAAGTCCAGATTTAAATTGCGAATGATTGTACTTATAAAGATTATGATTTAAGCGTATACTAGCACATTTTAATAGTAAACTCAAATTTATTTAGCATAAGTTAAAATGTACATACAATAGGCTTATAATTAAATCCTACAATCATTTTCTGTATATTATTCATCGAAGAAATTATATTTAAAAAGAACGTTCTTTTTTATAAACTATAAAAATTAAATATACAATACAAAACTATATATTTATTTATATATTTATTTTGTTTTCATTCTATCCAAAGAAATATCCATATTTGAACTGAATTGCGACATTAAACATATTAATTGCTTCATTTTATAAATTAAAGTTATCTGTGTTATAATAATTATTGATAAAAATTAAAATAGCTTTATTAGACCGAAAAGTTAAGAAAACTGAGAGAGTCATATATATATATATATAAAACATTTAAACGTGTACAAGAATATTAACATATTTGTATAAATGCCAA